CCCCAAAACCCCAAAACCCCAAAACCCCAATAAATTATAAATAAATAAAATTAGTGATATTTGGGATTTAACTCATTTAGATTTTAATTTAATTCAAATTGAGATCTCATTATATATAATAAAAATGAAATCATTCAAACTATCAGTAAGGATCTTCACAATGACTGCTATGCTTTTGGTGGCCGGAATTAGCTATTCATCTAGTGTTCCTCTTGACTTTGCAGACATTCATCCAAGTACTAGTATATAAGATTGTATAAATACAGCTAGACAATTTGATTACACAATCTTAGCTAATTTAGCAAATACTCCTGCAATAGGAATTCCTTACACCAACTATTACGAAACAGTCTCATGCCCAGTTAAAAATAAATGCCCTGATGGAATAAAAAGATCAACATGCATCTGGTAGAGAATTCTTTATCTTTCTTGCGAAGGATAAAATACTGTACAATACCCTGTTTAAATGCTAATTGGTACAAACTCATTGCCAAATCATTGCTATTACACTGATGGAGATCCTCCAATAGGGGATTAATCAAGATACAACACTTATATATTACTAGTCATGTTCAATCCAACACTACTTAAGTAGTCATCAAAACTTGAGAACTATATAACTTTTGATGAGCTGAATGTAGAAAATTATATGTGTTCAGAAACTTGGGGAAAAAATGCTAATATTGACCTGAACTTTAGGCCAGTTGATGCTTTAACATCTGATATTAGTGGTAGCCTTGTTTTATGGAATGAAGAAGCTATCGGTGATTATCCATATGACTTAATCAGATTACCCTCAAGTGATAAAATTGTCGGTATAGCTCTAAACGGTGTATTCATATTTTCTGCTATATCAATCTACGGCTATGATGCTTTTTATCCAACATCATTCGGTACTAGAAACTCACCTAAAGGTGTTACAGCTGATCTTTGTCTTGGTACTTCAGAAGGATACAGAACATATGCTTACCATATGTATTCACCTTGTATTTATGAAACAAGTCAAAGGTAAAAAGCGGATTACTGTGCTACTGATGATTTATGCAAGAAAAGTGTTATTGAATATGCCAAATTTCACACACATTCTTCGAAAAAAGTTATTACTCCTATCGGTATCGCTAAGGATGGAAGATTCATTTACGGGCCATACAATAAGAATGGAGATTTATGGTAACCATGTGATGTTGATATGTGTAACGGTATTTAATTTGGGGATCCTACTAATCCATATTATGTCTATGTTGCAACTATGTTCTTCCCTTATACTGTTGGTTGCTGGGGTCCCAGCAATAGAGTGCGCAATGTAGTACCAAGGTGTTCTTCAAATGTTCAAGCCTGCACCTAAGCTATCCTCAGCTTTTACACAAGTGTTGCTATTGTAATGGGATTATTTGCTTCAGTTCTAGCCTTTGCAGTCTGAAAAAACTTAAATTCGGACCAGAAATTTCAAGAAACTTCCCCAAATTTAAATTTCTTAACCTACTAATTCTTATAGATCTTCCTACTTACTTAATTATTCCTTTGATTACTTAATTCACACTTTTACATCCAAACACTATTAAAGTATGACGGGGTTTTGGGGTTTTGGGGTTTTGGGG